TCAGGCTTAGGTCACTTGGTACGAGGGCCGTTAGTTTAACAGTTACCCTTTTCCGCCCGTATTCAGTATTTCAACTGTTTTCATGATGGCGGCCGCGATCAATGTACCTCAGGGTCGCGCTTTCGTTAAAAAGAGGCTTCTGTGCCTTGTAAGCTCAGTTGGAAGAGCGCCGGTCTGCTGAGCGGGAGGGTCGCGGGTTCAAACCCCTGCCGGACCAACACTCAAAGTCTTTAAATAACTGAGGAGAAAGTGCTGCCTTTGCAATGACATCTGCAAACGGTTAGACTTTCTTACTCTAGTCTTCTCCGATAAGGACGAAAAACCCGTGGGGCCCGTCTCACAGCGCTTTCTCTCATCTGGTTCTTGTGGGACGTAAAAGAACCCAACCCACTGTGGTGGTGTCACCAATCTCTCCTGGGCCGGGTGGGTCATAAGTAACGACACATTTAAATTGGAGTCCCCCTCTGTTGTGTGTCCCGCAACATATGGTGGAGGAAGTGATAAACTAACTTAACAAAGTTTCGCTATTAACTTAAAAGTTGCAGCGCCAGTTGGTACATTTTCATACATTGCCTTCTGCTGTTGTTCCCATTGCTATTTTTGTTCTGTGGTCGTGAACTTTTTGTGCGTTAAAACTATTTTTTAAACTCTCCCACAGGAACTAGAGATACAGTTGGTGCGAGAAGTACTTGAAGTGTTTATCAGAGTGTGCATTTTTGTGGATCAACCCACGTTCCTTGGGTTTGTGTTTAGAGCCATCAGTAGCAGACTAGATTACGTGAGTACTGCACCGCCTGGTTCTCGGTCATATTCCGCCAGTCTACCTGCCAGTATCTCCTAGGGTTACAGTACTAGGCACCTTACGATCCGACAGGGGCGACGTCAATAAAAACGTCAATAAAAAGTAGGCTGAGCATTCTCGCAAACTTTCTTGCGATTCTTCTAATTCACCTTGTTACTTTAATGAAAGCAAATTAGATTGGAGCTGAAGTGAGCTAGTAATAGTTCCCGTTCTCAAGTAACCTTAAAAGTTGGTCATTTACGTCGTTTTTTGTGCAGGGACGGCAAAGACATTTGCACTTGGGTGAATTATTGTTTTTCGTATTAAACCTGTTGCTTTTTTTACTTTCCCGTTACTGTCGCCGCCGTAGTTTCGTAAGGTCCCTACTATTGCGACATATGAGAACATACGCCGACGGCAACAAAAACATCGCAGGTTGTTATTGCCGGCGCATAAATTACCAAGATTACATTTTTATCGATCTCACCAGCAGGGGGTTATGAAATCATTATCACGGGCCTGTTTAACGTCATTTCCATTTCTCACAAAAGCGTTTGTTCGGCGTAGCTACATGACTGAGGTCGCTGTTTTTGTGAGGCGCGTCCTGTAATCTTAAAGGGTGGCTTCGTCAAAAGCGTCCTCCGCGGTTATTACTCATAAAAAATAGTAACGTCTAAGCTCAGTACATTGTGCATCATGCCGTGAGTGTGGTCCAAGGGTAGAGTCGAGTCTGGGGCACTTAACGTATCCTCCCCCCCCCCCCCCCCCCCCCCCCCTTCAAACAAAAAAAAAAAAAAAAAAACCCCCCCCCCCCCACCAAAACCCGAGCCAACCCCCCTTTTTTTTATTTTTTTTGTGTTGGTGGGGGGGGGATGCACAGCCAGTCACATAACAAAAAACCGAAAAAAACCACAGAAA